GCCTGAAAGCACAGTTCACTTCAGTCGTGTTAAGTTTTGACATGTGGCATTATCTGTTGTTCTGTTTAAAATCATTAGCCACTTCTGTGATTCTTCACTGACTCATCACTAGAAGTGTGTTTTAGTCTTTCTAATTGGTCCAGAGTTTGGGGAAGGAGAAGGAGTGGCAGATTTCTGACCTGGTGGCATTAGTGTCACAGAACAGCATACCCTTTGATGTAATAATGTTTAGGTTAGCACACAACTCTAATAGAAGCCGCAGCATCTTCACACAGGCCTTCACTGTGCTTCATTCTTGTTCCCTACGAGTCTATGAGAACGTTTCAGGCTGTACTTCCAACCATCCTCACGGATGTGTCTCTGCCTGAGAGGTGTGTGGAACTCCCCTGCTGGAGGGCCTGTGCCTCCCCACTCAGGCTGCATGCACGAGCGCCTCTCAAACGAGAGCCATTTCCCTGCACAGGACGCCCCCACGGCTTTTCACCCTCCCAAACCCGAGCCACATCTGCCTGTCTCTGAGTTCTGGCATCGATGTTGTGAAGTTGCTTCGCGGGGCTGGAATTTGAGTGCAGTTTCCTCATCACTGTTCACCCCAAGTGGCAGCAGCAGTTCAGACCCCAGCGTGGTCTCATGAGCTGTGACACTGAACTAAGATGGGAAAATGCATCAGGTCTGTTTCCGGCCTGTGTGGTTTAAACCCATTAGTGTACAATGAAAGCAGGAGCTGTAAGCCACTGCACACTGGAGGACACCAAAACACCCTGTCACTGTTCATCCTGCCTTTCCCAAGTGAACCGTATCACACAGCTGGAGAGATGCACAGATCATGGGAGCATCTGCTTGTCACATAGAGGTATCCAAAGTAGACTGTGACTCTTGTGTCTTCTCCAGAGAAACACTCACCCACATACAGTGGGCACAGTCTGTGGCCATAGCGCCATTGAGAGAGCCCATGTCCAGTGGGCACAGACAGTAGGCACAGACAGTGGCCACAGTGCCATCAAGAGAGGAGGCCAAGGCTGCAAAGGAGATGTCACATCACAGCCACAAAAGCTCCTGTAAAAACCGGAGACCTGCATCTAACCCCATATCTGGGCCTCACCCCCAGGGCCCAGGAAAGGAGGGAGCAGAGAGCAGGCACCCTGTGAGACACTGCCACGAGACAGAAAGTAAGTCTAGACTGTCACAGAAGCTTATGGGACAGCATGGCTCACAATGAGGAAAGAGCCTGGCCTCACTACAGAGAGCACAAAAGAGCCGGCACGTGAGGGCTCCGCCCACCACAGCAAGGGGACTCTGTCTCTGTTTCTGTCTTTAATCACAGTGTGCATGTGTGTGCATGTGTGTGTGTGTGCGCACACGCGTGTGTTCATGTGTGTGTGCATGCCCACGTGTGCATACTTGCACACATGCCACAGCACACATGTAGAGGGCAGAGAACGACTTGTAGGAATTGGTTCTCTCCTTCCACCATGGGGCTCCTGGGGAACAAACTCAGGTCATCAGGCTCGGCAGAAAGCACCTTTACCTCACAACCTGAGACCTCATTTCTGAGCAAATTATGTTTTTTTTTTTTTTTTTGGTTTTTCGAGACAGGGTTTCTCTGTGTAGCTTTGCGCCTTTCCTGGGACTCACTTGGTAGTCCAGGCTGGCCTCGAACTCACAGAGATCCACCTGGCTCTGCCTCCCGAGTGCTGGGATTAAAGGCGTGCGCCACCACCGCCCGGCGCAAATTATGTTTTAAACTATGAATATTTGCAACAACTATAACATTGGCAAGAGAGCTAAGAGCAGTAGGGAACTATTTTTAATTCTTAGATGGGATTATACCATTAAGTTTATGTTTTTCAAAACCTGAGTTTGGAGGCACTATGTGAAGAAATACTTGTAAAGGGGATTCACACCCACACAAGGCTGACTCTGGATCCCGGCAGAGCCCAGCTGGCCAGCCACGGAGCTTGGTCTTAGACACGCCCGTCCCACCGTCCTGCACACATGACAGACTGCACGACACACCTCTTGAGAATAACGTCCATGGGACTGAAGAGGCGGCTCTGCAGTCGAGGTCACTTGCCGCTTTTGCAGAGAGATTGTTTCCCAGCCCCACACTGGACAGCTCGCAACCACTGTGACTCCAGCTCCAGGAGCTCTCTTCTGGCCTCCAGGATGCTCACATGCACACAGGCAGACAGACAGACAGACA